TTAAAATATATTCTAATTTTTAAATGTTTTTTCATCATATTCTGTAGGGACTTAAAATTCAACATATCAATACTTGGTGAAAAATACCTGTTCCATGTTATGTTTAAGATGTTTGATATTCAGACAGTGAGGTTAAGTCTAACAGCCTAGGCTGTATGGTAATAACAATAAACTTCTCTTCTGGAGGGTTAACAACCTATGTTTGCAGACCAAAATTAGAGAAAAGGAAGGCGCAAGGAAAGCCAACTTTTTGGCCCTAGCTTGCAAAGTCAATTAAGACTCAGGACATATGAGAACTTGTACTGTAACGTCACGTAACTCAGTAGTGTCCCAAATTTTCTGATCAAGGACATTATAGGCCAAAGAGGAAAGTGATTGATGATGTAGAGTGTGCCTAAGGAGAGTCACATAGAGAGAAAACATTCTCTCAGGCTTTCACAGAGAAAACATTGGCCAAGCAATGGCCGTGACTCATCCACATGGCTGATACTGACAAAGGTTCTACAATCTGAGGTACAGGATCTCAGGAGAAATCCTGAGGGGATTTCACTAACCTTATCAGACCCAAAAGCTACAATTCTTGTTGCATAGGTCCTGCTCTACCTTGGTCTTAACCATCCAGCAGAAAAGTATAAAAATGAAGTATAAGAAGTAAAGCCAAAAAAAAAAAAAAAAAAAGAAGTAAAGCCATGGTATTATGTTGAGCTGTAGGGGGCTCAGGTCAACAATTTCTGACATTGCCAGTCAAGCAGAAGACCCAATACTATAATGAACTACTGAACTCTTTTAGATTATTTTGCTGAGTTTATATACCTGTAATATTTAAATGATGGAACTTAACAAAAAAAGGGGATACAGATGAATGTCCATTTTGTATCTGTATATTCAAGTGGTTAGGATAGATATATAGTTACATTCTCTTAATGAATAGAGGGACTTGTTCTAATGGTGTTTGTAAATAGGATATCATGTCAGCATCTTGTACAGCAATTAACCACTAGGAAGAATGTATGCAATGTGTTAATTATTGAAACTGTTCTACCAATTTTGTTTGAAACTGTCTCATTACTATTTGTTTCTCAATAAAATTATGGGAAAAACTTTAAATAAAAATATAAAAAAAAAACTGATTGTGGAATCAATTTCCCTAGTACCCATAGTTTCCAACCCTACTTTATAAATGAACCTATATGACCAGCCTAGAATTTAATTCTAGGGGCCAATATTAAACTTTGTAATTTGAAATAATTCAAACGGAAAACATGTTCTTCCTTCCTTTGTAAATTGTATCTTTCCTTGCATGTCCAAAATCAAAAATCTCACCTCTCAAATTTAATTTATCCAATCTTCTGTTTGAAAGGATTTTTTTTTAAAAAAAATTTTATTTATTTATTTATGTGTGTGTGTGTGGCCAGCTCAGCCCACCAGGGGCGGGGCTGGCTGGCATGGGGTGCTGGGGGATTGAACCGTGGTCCCGCTGCTTTGCCAAACTTGTTCTAAATAGGTGCTTTAGACCACTGAGCCATCTCACCAGCCCAATTTATCCAATCTTCTAATCTATCCACAACAGCAGGAACAGTTACTGATGTTGCCAATTTTGTAAATTTATTACTGTAATAATTGTAGCTAACAATAAATTTATAATACAACTCCCAATGACTTAGAATAAAAGATTTAAATCTAAAATCAAAACTGTTTCTCCCACTCATTTTACTTGATATAACAAAATTACCTGTAAATAAAATAAATGCAATACAAAACAGGAAAGCAGTTACTCTGTGGCATTTTATTACCACAAAACAAAACAAAACAAAACAAAACCACCTCTGAAATTATTCGGGTGTTAGAAAAATCTTCCTATTCTAAAAAGTATTATTTTTTAAAAAAATTGTAGACTATAGGAAAAATACATCTTGATCTGATAAATTTTCTAGAATTTATGTATGATGCAACTCTAGAAATTGTAGCTAATATGGTGATTTTAAAAATCCATAGACAAACTACCTTGTTAAGACAAGAAATGATATGACTGAGGTCAATCCAAGGAGCACCCGCTTCTGTCACTTGATGAAAAAGATGATCCCTAAAGAGTTTCAACAGGTAACGGTCTCCAGTCTCTGACCAAGTAGGATCCTTTTGAAACCTGGGGAAAGTTAATATTTTATCTCAGTAACACATGCTGTATGCCATAGGGCCATGCTTATTTTTCTGATTTAAGACAATTTTAATTTCTTCCAACTAATAAGATATTAAACAGTCCTTTTTGGTAGTGTTAAAAAATCTTTCTGAACACAGAACTACATAAATTTCAGTTTCAAGTCTCAATTCTCAGGGGCAATCTCCCTTTAAGCAATTTTTTTTTTTTTTTAATTTTTAGTCCCTACTGTTTGGATAAAATAGGAATGAAAGAAAAAGTCTACGGATAGCTTTAAACTGAGATTTTAAGAGAATGCTTTGTTCTCCTCCTATCCTGTAGGTTATAAAGATGGTCAGATAAGTTTTCTTCACCAATAACCATAAAATTAAAAAAACTATTTAAAAAAAAAAAAAAAGACTCAGGCAAGCTGCAAAACATTTGAGAATCAGATGATCCCTATTAGTTTTCAGTAACCTTAGGAACATACAATCTGGTGGATAAACATGATACTGAAATTATCAAAGAAAGGGGTAACCATATAGACAGACAAGAAAGGTTTTCAGAGGAAGCAGGAACTGCTCTTCCCAGAACAAGGATACTCCTTAACATTTTAACAATGAGTATTTGCAAAGGAAATTATGGAACAGTAAGTAAGTGTACAAAAGACCTGTGTGTCTGGATGGGGTCAGAAAAGAAAATGTATTGGGGCTGGGGAGATGGCTTAGTGGAATAAGCGCTTCCCTGGCAAGCGTAAGGGCCTGAGTTCAATCCCTGTTTCTGCAAAAAAAAGTATGAGGAAGGAGAGGGTGAGGAGAAAGAGTAAGAAGGAGCCAGAGAGAAGGAAAAGGAGAGGAAGAAAAAAAATGAAGGAAGCTAAGAGATTCAAAGTACAAAAGTGCAACAGCAGGGACCACACTTAGGTCATCAAAACAATCTCAGAACAATGGGAAAGACCAAGACTGTCACGCAGCTTTTAACATAATCACAACCTTCACAAGGGTCATTATGGACCTCTAATTAAAATGCAGTTTAAACTTTTCCAATTGTCTTTGCTTCTTTTCAACAGCCCATCAAAATATCAGGAAATGTCTAAAAAAGGCTAAAAACCTAAGAACAAAGGGATCAGATGAAGCAATAGTAATATAAATATTTCTTAAATAAATCTGTACCAATCTGGAAGGTGCAAGATAGGTTAAAGGGATGACTTAAGAGAACTGACAAAACTGAATCCCTAATACTGTAATCGGTGCAAGGAGCAGGGAAGAGGAAAACTTTCAGAGGCAAACTGCATAGGTGAGGTGCACGACCTGACATCACGAGGAACCACTGCAGGGGCAGGTATGGACTAAGGCTGAAATCAGCAGAACTGAAATCAAGGTTCTACAGAAAGCAAATAGACCACCCTTCTCTCAGGGATTTCATTAAAATTGACACTAAGGAGTAGTAAGTGAAACACTTTAATAAAAGCCTTCCCTCTGGCTGGTTCCCAAACTGTGGTTGTCAGGTCTGTATCACAGACAGTAGGTTAGAAGATTCTGCTCAAGAATAATGATGATATTTGGGACCCTATTAGAAAATGAAAACCATACATAATAACAATGTTATCCTATCCTATCCACAGAAAAGCTCAATGTTCTACAATCGCCACCCCACACAGTGCTTCCTCGTTACTTTTTTATTACATTTTAAATAACAATGAATGTACAAAATAGGATAGATATATAGCTACTTTCTCTGAATTCAATGAGAAGAAAGATTTCTACTAATAGTATTTGGACAAGATATCATGTCTGCATCTTGTACTATGAATAACCACTACAAAGACAACAATATGCAATGTATTAATTATTGAAACCATCCTCCTAATTGGTTTTGAAACTATCTCACTGCTATTTGTTTCTCAATAAAATTAATTTTAAAAAAAGCAATACATGGCCAAGAGTCCAAATCTTTTGAAAAGAGAATGAAACAAAGCAAAATAAATTGTTTCCTATGAGATACTGAACAGAAGAGGAAAAAAAAAAACCAACGCCCACCATAATCACCACCAAACCTCTCTAACTTGACAGCTTCAGAAATGGCAAGATAAATACTTAAAGAACAGAAAAATTCTTGAAAATTAAAAATATAGCAGAAAATTTAAAACTCAAAGGATCAGTAAAATCTTTAGTATTTTTTTCTTTTTTTTTTTTTTTTTTTTTTTTTTTTTGTCTTTTTTGCTGGTGCAGCCCACTCTTGATGGTGGAGCTGGCACAGAATGTGGTGCCAGGGATTGAACTGTGATCCCCCGAGCCTGCCTAAGCAGGCACTTTAGACAGCTGAGCTATCTTGCCAACCCAAAATCTTTAAGTTTAAAAGCAATTAAAACTGAGATAATGCCCAGAATGTGGAATAAATGCATTAAGAAGTAGAAAATAAGTACACTACTAGAAAAAAAAAAAAAAATCACAAAAATTTAACATCTGAGCAATGAGAATTCCAGAAAAATGAAAAGAATACTTATTAAATAAATAGTAGAGATCATTCCCCAGAACTAAAGAATGTAAGATGTGAAAATTATAGGGACCTGCCTATAGAAGATGCATCATTTTGAATCTAAAACCCACACCAAGGCACATCATTTTAACTTCAGAAAATCACTAACAAAAGACCCTAAAGCTTGGGCAATGAGAAGGGTTTGGGAAAAAATGGCTTTGAATCTGGCTAGAAGTTAAAAAGAAACAATGAAACAAAGCTTCAAATTCTAAGCAAAACTATGATTACTAGCTAGCAAAATTACCCATGAGAAATTAAGTCTAAAAATATGAAAAGAAACTTTAAGCATCATTATTCAGATGGTAAGATGCAGCCCTGAAAAACCTAAGATAATCTACAACTGAAAATGATGCACTCTATAAGATACCAAGATACAAAGTGTCAGAGAAATCAATTTTTAAATACACTCATAACAAGTAGCAAAAAATCAGAACAGTAGAAAAACAAGTATCTAACTTTTATTAGTCAGCCTACTGTAACTATACAAACAACATACAATGAAATGAAAGACAGAAAATGACGGTGTTAGATTTTTAAAATTTCCATCATTGTGACTGTTACAATGGAAGTGCTGCTTCAATACTTGGGGAAAAGCTAGACTAATAAACAGTTTTTGGACTAATAAGTGGTTGTCTGGGGAAAAAAAATGCTGGATTCATACTTAATACCATATAGTATTTCTGAATATATACACAAGAAATGAAAACAGAAACAATCCAGAAGAAACTGTAATTGCTTCATAATCTTGGGAGTGAAAATATCTTCTTATGTATGATTCAAAAACACAGAAGCACAAAAGAACTATGATCTATTATAGATATTTTTATATATCTTATAGATCTATCTGAATAGGAAAAGAGTCAAAAGAAAAACAACCAGTTTAAAAAAGAAATTGCCACAGTAAAATTTTAGTTCCGTCTACTGACAAGAAAAACAAGCAATGAAATTTTCAAAAAAAGTAATGAAACCGAAAATAAAAATGGACAAAGAATATGAACAGACAAACGGAAATAAAAATGGATCAAAAAGAAAAGATACTCAAATAAATACTTTAAGAATAGATTCAAAAGCAAATTGCAGGGCTGGGGAGATGGCTCAGTAGGATAAGCACTTGACTGGCAAACGCAAGGATCTGAGTTCAATCCCCAGTTCGCAAAAAAAAAAAAAAGCAAATTGCACTGAAATTTAATTTCCCACCTATTAAAATAAAACTTCAAAAAGTTGGGCCAAACATTATACAAACAAAAACTTATGCATAATTTGGTCTTTATAGTGCTATTTGTACTAGCAAAACATTGAAAACAACCTATGCTCATCCACAAGGACCTGAGGGAATAATCTGTATCAATAGGACAGACTATTACCTGGCTGCGAAGTGTGAGGAAACAATGCAGAGCACTGACTTCAGGCCATGGTCTAGATTTGAATACCAACTGATCCTTAGTAATTATGTGATAGTGGACAATTTATTTAACCTGTCAAGGCCCCAATTTCTCTATTATGTGGGGCTAAAAACAGAACCTCTATCAGAGGACTATTTAAGGATCAAGTCAGGTCACATTCATAGGCTTGACATATTCTTAACACAGATATCCAAAACATACTGTTTTGAGCAAAAAGTAATATACACAACACTGTGTAAGGTGTGGAATTTTTATAAACTTAAGAACAATATATAAAATAAAGGAAAAGTGAGAAATGGGAGGAAGGAAAGAAAGTTATATATGTATCTCTGAAAGTTAGACAAAAGAAACTAAATTTAATAGGAACAACTGGGTAGACTGGGAATATCAGGTATGAGATGAGATATTCTATGATTTTTAAAATATATAACTAATTTAAAAATTTAGGAATTTTCTGAAATATGCAATTATATCATTGATACTGTGTGAGAGATACTTTTTGACTCATAAGGATCCAAAAAACCATTCACAGGAAACTAGAAGAAAGATGTGCTTCATTAAATTAAAAGAATAACTCAAGGGAAAAAGAAACAACGTAATCAACACAAGAGAGCTAAGGAGAATCCCAGGAGAGCGTAGGGCCACTCCAGACCTGAAGTGTGAATGTGGGCCAGTCTGAAGTACAGCTGATCCAAGTGGGAATAGGAGGGTAGAGACTCCTGAGGAATTTACCAGGGGAATGCAAAAAGAACTGACAGGTTAGCTACTTTTAAAACGTGTCTTATAACTCTGGCAAAGTTTGCAATGAACTGGTGAAAAATACTTTTTCATTTTAGTTTTGTAAGGGAATAACCAACTGTAAGGAAATAATGCTCTCCCCCCCAAAAAAAATACAGAAAAAGCAAATATAATTGTGTCTTACTGTATGATACAGTTATGAACAGTGTTTACCTAGTCCTACAATATCAACAAAGAATACAGATTTCACTCAATATTTATGGGTTCAGTGGTACAATGTGAGAGAATATGTGTTATGCGTGCTAAGGAAAGGGGTAAGTCATTAGCTAAATTAAATATTGAAAAAAAATCAAGAACAGTGTAAGTATACATTTTAAAATGCAAAGTTAAATGCCAGAAGAAACAGTATAAAGTTTCTTCAATAAAATGGTATAACAGAGATAATATCCTTGGAATTCAAGAAAATTATTAGGAAAAGCCATAATTAAGTCTCTTGATTTTGGAAAAAAGGCAAGTTGATTCGAATTTCATGGCAGAAAACAAAAATTCCACAAGCAATGCAGTACCTCCTATAGATGAAATGATCCTGAAATGCAAGTTATTATAGTCACAATAGCTGCAATTCTGTTGTCTTTACCAGCTATGTAGTACAAATAACAACTCCGCCTATGAAGAGATGGTTAACTTTTAACTTACAAACATGCAGAACCAAGTGACAACAATGTAAAATGATGCTTTCTAATGTTACCAAAATGACACTATGAAAATTGTATTTTAATAGAAAATAAGAGGCATGTAACAACTACACATTTCTAAAGTCTCTAAACTGACCAAGGTAAACTGATCTGACCAGGTTTCAAAGGAGACAGGGTATTAGCTACAAAATGTTCCTCATTTGCAAACCACAGTAGACATTTCTAACATCATGCAATTTCCGTATTTGCCTGTGTGTAAAATTTCTCAGGTCAGCTATATCAAGGCTGGGGTGAGGAAACAATACTCTAAACAATCTGGGAATCAAATAAAAATCTTTCTCTTTTTCCAAATAAAATTAGCAAGAATAGGGACTACTTATTCTCATTATTCAAAATAATGCCCTTGATTAAAATATGTTGTAAAATACTGTAAATCCTTACTCCGGCCTCTCATTGATTGTTCCCAATTTTGCTAGGAGCCTAAACAGTCTTCCATTTTGAACCTCCTATAAAACATTTTAAAAAGAAAAAGGATGTTAATGCTAGAACTATATAAATATAAAAACTAATGGTTACAAAAACTAGTATCAGCACCAATTATTATCTTTAAGAAACACATCAAACATCCACGTTTCAATTATGCTTTAAAATACAGTATGTCCATTAATTTAACAGTAGTACTCTAGGTTACACAGTCTATCATTTTTAGGAATTATTAAAGCAACACAAAAATTCAAGGTTTTTGTCATGACTATAGCAAAGTCATGAATGAAAACAAGAAAACAATACCCAGAGGACATGAGAAATTAAATTATTAAATATTTAGTTTGGGCAGAAATATCTACAATCTTAGCAAATTAGCCATAATATTCAGTCCAATAATTACTTTTACACCTATTTGTACACATGGATATTAAAAGCAAGTATGCTCTATTAACCTCTTTCTTTACCTTTGCAAGGTCTTCTTCAATGACATCATTTCTCATTTGAGCAGCATCCAATTGAGTATAAAATCGAGCACCGATCATGGGCATGATGTCATTTACACTTCGCATCCTATTTTGGTCAGTCAATAAATACCTAACCAAGACAAAAAAAAAAAAGAAAGAAAGAAATCACTTGAATGCCCAAAATGCAATTAAAAAATAAAATAGTAATAACCCACAAACACATAACTACTGCTGCCATCATCATCTAGTGTATACAATTTGAAAACACGTTTTTCATTTAAGACCAATTCAACTTTTGAAGTTTAAGTATCATTTCTCTTCACTGAAAAATTTTAAGAGATAATAGAGAAATATGTCTCTTTCTAACTTTTCACTAATGTGAGCAGAAGAGGATTACACTTACCCATTTCTATTCTCAAATCCCTCTGTATGGTACTGCTAGGTGAAAGGATTATTATGGAGGGTTTTTTGTACTGGGGATCGAACTCAGGACCTTGTGCTTACCAGCAGGAGTTTATGCCACTGAGCTACCTCCCTTGCCCATGTTACAGTTTTTTGAGAATGAAGTACTGGGTAGCTTTTCCTACTGCTCTTCAAAAATAAATTTTTGATGTCATTTTTGAGATAGGATCTCACTATGTTGCCCTGATCTTAAACATGTGGGCTCAAGTGATCACCCTACCCTAGCCTCACAGTACCTGGGAATACAGGCACACACAACTATGCTGGCAAGAGAGAATTTTTACTAAAACTAGAATGAGTCTTCAAGTAGGCTAAATAAATGAGCCCCAGCCTTTTAGGATGCTACCTTCTGTTCTGCTACGTTATCTATCAATTGTCATCATAGATTCGTATTTCTGAGAAATCTTTACATATTAACACACATCAGAAGAGACCAGATCAATTTCAAGAGCTGTTAGAACATAACAATCTTTGGTCACGTGTTTCTGTGCAACCTATAAATAAGCCATTCTCTGACCTCCACTAAAGCAGATGTCTACTTTTTACTTTTCTGCTTGACTTCTGTCTTCATAGGACCTACCACTCCCTGAAAATATCTTACTTGCTTATATGGTTATTAACTCTTTTTTCCTATTAGGGTGGAAGCTTCCAACACACGGAAATTTTATTTATCTTTTTTAATTTTGGTATGAAGTAGTCATCTTTTTGTTGAACAGGTGAATGATTATACCAGTGCAAAACATCTGTCTCAGCTACTCATCTATAACTACTGAAATATTTATATTCAGCTAATTTTAATAAAAGTTATTATACGCTATTGGACTTTGATAAATTACTTTACCTCTATTTCTCAGTTTTGTAGTCTCCAAGATAGGGCTAATAATGGTATCTAACTTATAGAGTAACTGGAAGAAATAAGTATATTAATTCATGTTAAGCAGTTCAAAAACATCTGATACATGCTTGATTGCTCCATAAAGTTTAATTCACAACTATATTGAAGTATGATCTTATTTATTTAATTAAAGAAAATTCCAAACATTTATAAATGTTTCCAAACATTTATAAATGTAGCCAGAAGAGAATGAATCCCCATGTATGATCACACAGTTTCCATAATTATTAACATACAACCAATACGTTATATTTATATCCTCTATTCACATTTTTTAAAAAAGGAAAATCTAGATTATAATCTGAAATTATTTGAAATATCCTAGGTGTTGCAAACTAAGGCTAAGGACCACCACTGTGTTCGTATGTAAAACATGTTTTCATTTAGAAAATAAACCATCTTATTTGGTTATTAATAGAATTCAAGCAACCACTGGCTTCCAAAGCTCTGTCATAGCAGGACACTTAGGCCACTTGTAACAAAGAAACCATGGGTAGTACCTCCATCCTCCATTCCTCAATTCCACACCCCAGGGCTGGTCCAAAAAGAAACTGAATAATCCAGGATACACAGAATGACCAGAAGGGACAACAGAAGGGTAAAATACACTGCTGGTTAGGAATGGTAAATTCTAATTGCTTCTAGAATAGAAAAAGTTTTAAAAGGGACTTCCTGTCATGTCTTCTCTAGAGTAATTTACAATAAAGGTCTTAGCTACTGACCCTCAGAAATCTCTCAGTATTAGATAAGTTTGAGCAAATGAGAAGTCCTCCTGTGGGGACAGATTACCAGTGAGTCTCTCGTAAGCCCAATTTAGTGCAAATCTATACTCTCTGGTGTCTTAAGAAATTTATGACAGCTTTCACTTTCTAGAGCCTCATGGCCCAGGGAAATCGCCTTGTGATGATGTAAACTATTCTGTGTACTAACCAGGATCTACCTGTAGCTTTTGAGCTCTTATTAATAAGACAAGTGTAACAGAAGAAATACATTTTTAATTTAATTTAAATTCAAAAGGGAATACACAACTAGAGGATATCAGTGCAACATTACAGGGTGCTCTTTGACCAGATGTTTAAACATTAATAACTAATTTAAGCACACTGGTTTATTAATTTATTCCAAGTAATATATTCTTAGCAATAAAAAATAAACTAAAAATTGTCAGTTTTTACTTGATTTTAAATAGTGAGAACTAAACAGTCACAGAAAGACTTCATATGCAAGTAAGCAAGAACCAAACATAAAACAAGCTGTTTCTTCCTCTCCTCATATGACTATTATGTAAGTTTTAATCATCTATTAAGAACTTACAAGATCAGATTCTTCAAGTCAGAAGAGTAGTTGATTGTCACTAATTCCATGGCTTTCTGTAAATTCTCTCTCTGTATTCCTGCCAAAGAGTTGCAAGCCAAAGCCAACACAACTTTTCCTAATGATATCAGGTCTGCTTGCTGACATGAAAGAATAAACACATATTTTAATTTATAGGCACCCATTTAATATACTGATAATATTGCCTAAATGGGAGGGGGAAAAGAAACAACAACCCATATCATTATAAATTAAGCTGCACGGCTTAAGGCAGGGTTCTCAGCATTGGCACTCCAAATCACCTGGCATCTATTAAAAAGATGATTTCTGAGCCTTTCCTTCATGGATTCGCCTTTAGAGAACACACCCAACATTTTTAAGCTATGCAGATAATGCTGCTGATGGTAGTTCTACGGGAACTTTGTTTTTGTACTTGGAATTGAAAAAGGACTTTGTACTTGCTAAGCAGGCACTGTGCCACTGAGCTATATCCCTGGCCTCCTAGGGAGACATCTTAAGAACCATGAATCAAAACTATAATGAGAAAGGGGAAAGGAAGGGAAAAGAAACATATGTGCAAGATAGTTAAGATAATTATATAGTTAGTTTCTCTTCGTTCATTGAAAAGAAAATTTTGCGCTACTACTTCTTTGGACAATCTTTCACATCCAAACTCTTCACTTTGTGCAAAAATGAATATAAAAGTACGCAACATATTAATTATTGTTACTTTCTCACTAGACTGTTTTGAAACTGTTTAACTGTTATTTTTATTTTTTTCTATTTAAAAAATAAACATAAAAGCAGGCTGATGCTAATTATGGGACTACTGATTTTATAAGGCTTTTTAAAATTTAAATAGAGCTAATTTCTTCCCTATTATATAACAAATTTAAGTTTATTGTACTCTGGGTTTTATTATGATCATTGCAATTAATATATATACTTTTTAAATTCTGCATGAGTCTTAGAATTTGTTATGAAGGGCCAGGGAGATGGCTCAGTAGAATAAGCGCTTCCCTGGCAAGCGCAAGGGCCTGATTTCAAACCCCGGTTCCGCAAAAAAAAGAATTTGTCATGAAGACTTAAAGAAAGTTATCCCATTACAAACATAAGCATTAAACTGGAGCACGATTGTTCACTAGACCATCAAAAAATGGTACAAACCTTAGTGAGATCTCATTTGTCTTTGTTTCCAAGTAGAACTACTTTTGCTTGTATTATAACAGATCTTAAGAGTTCCAGAATTGGCTTTTTCCTACTTTTTTTTTTTCCTTTTTAATGATTTACCCTTCTGAGGCTTTCTTTTTAAAAAGAAAGACAGTCAATTAAAGTAATAAGCTAAGCCCTTTAATCAACTATTCTAACTCCAGGAAACAAAATGATCACACTAAGAACCCCTGCTTCGTAGACAACCACCACACATAATATGCCTAAGAAAATGCAAAGCTCCAAATTAACAAAAAAAAAAAAAAATCATCTGAATTAATTTCTACCAAAGATTTTTATGTCCTCAAATGCTGAAATCAAATCTGAATTACTGAATACATGCCTGTTCACTGAGTAATGGTGTAGTATAAGAAATTTTCAACTCTAGTTGTATATTAAATATCAACTGACAAAAAAAAGTCACCTAGAGAACACCATCCTCATCCCAGAATGAGTGTTGTTATCCTGGGGTAAGGGCTAGGTATGCGTTTCAAAGCATCAACAAGAAATTCTCAGGGCCAGGGAGATAGCTCAGTAGAATAAGCACTTCCCTGGCAAGCGCAAGAGGCTGAGTTCAATTCCTGGTTGCGCAAGAAAGAAAGAAAGAAATTCTCATATATAGCCAGGGTTTAGAACCACAAGGATAGTGGACTGTCTCTAACTGGTATATTTAGAAAGTCAGGTCTTTTAAGATAATCTGATTATTTTAGCATTAGGTGACTGACCTTAACAACATTCTACCAAAACAATAATGAATCAGAGGAAGTTAAATTACAAAATTACTAAAACAACAATTTAAGAGTTCAACTTTAAAATATATATTTAAAACTAGCATTTGTAGAACACAGTGAATATGAGATCCTATAATACAGAGAAGAACCCAATAAATACACAAACTACTCTGAAGTCTATCAGAAGAAACGCAAGCAGAAGTGTCAGAATGAGGGCCCAAAAGGCAGAAGGGAAGGTGTGTATGAGAGGCACTGTCTCCACTACCCTCAGAGCCACTGTGGGAGGGTGCTGTGGTGCACCCTGAAGCGTCCCTTCAGCCATCCTGAAGGGTCCAGTGAAACTTTCCAGGTTATATTAATAAAATTACACAACTTTTTTTTTTTTTTTTTTTTT